TGCTGAATCACGGAGCACAGTCAGAAACCTGCTTAAGTGCTAAATCACAAACGAGCCAGTCTTTTTTTTTTGAACAGTTGCACACTGATACGGATGATAGGAACACAGAGAAACAGAACCATTTGGTGGCATTGTTAAGCAGGAAGGAGAGAACGTGTTGGATGTACACATTTTTCTTTCCCCCAAACCTCCTGGTTTGGGCCACGTTCTGCCATCCCTACCAACCCTTTCTTAACTTTCCCCAACAGCTAAAAGAGGACCTTGATTTTCTACACTAATTGAAATCAGGCAGACCTCCCTGAACTTGACTCCTGTCTCTGGCACTCGTTAGGTGTGGAACTTTGGGCAGACAGCTTCTCTGAGCCTCAATGTCCCACCTATAAAATGGGAATATCAGCACTTACCCCTTACGGTGGTTGAGGAGGGAGGTGATGTGTGTGAAACACTCGGGAAGGTTCCTGGTGTGTTGTAGGGACTCGGAAAGTGCTAGTTACCGTTTTACGTGGCGAGGTCACACCTAGTGTGTGAATGCCCTAAGAGGGAGTAAACTGACATAAATTCACGTAGAGAGGTACTAATTTTACATGTTTTCCAAAAATCCAGTTTTTTGGACAGAAATCACGGTGATGGGAAATGAGGGAAGGCACAAGAATTCCGAGTTTGGGGGGAAGGAGAGAGAAAAAGACAGCCTGGGATGTTATTCGTGCATCAGACATTCATGCCCACTGGGCATCAGTTTTTGTAAGAAAGGTATATTTGGCTAATCTCACAGTCTGTCCCTGGGCCAGCCCCATCCTTCTGGGTGATGAGCCAGTGCCCGGCAGTGCTGGGGTTTCTTAGAAGTGCTGAATAGCCTAAGGACTTTCTTAATTTTTGTCTTCAGTAATTAATATAGTCATATCAAAGCTGTTTGCAGTTAATTGATTATCTCCTAGCCAGATTAATCTTACCTTTCTTTAAAATGTGCTACATTTGGAAAGGCGTCTGCTAGGGAAAGGAAGCCTATATAGATGTGCTGTATCCTTTAAAAAAAGCACAACACTTCTGCATTTCAAGTGAAACACGAGAGTCCGGGGCTAACCCTCTGAGGTGCTGCTGGGAGTCTGTTGGGGAGAGGAAGGGGGAGGAGGATGTTAGCTCCTGAATTGATCTTATTTATCCCTGTTGAGATTTCCCTCCCTCTCTTGCCGCGTGCCCCATCTCAGAAGTTCAGTCTGGGTAATGCTGCAGTTTTCTCTGCATCCTTCCTCGTTATCATCTCTGTTGGAGCTGGAAATTCACCGAACGGTTGCTCTGGCCACTGCTGGGACCGGCTTGGAAACCGTTCCTGCTTTGCGCCGTCTCAAGGCCCCCTGGGTGTTGGTTAGGACACCTCCACTTGTTTGTTGTTTGGCTTGGGGTCTGTGGGCTCCTGGGGTTAGGGTTGAGAGCAGGCACTGCGTCTTGTTGTAATCCCAGTGCCCTGGATGAGGCCGGGCAGAGCTTCACCTAGAATGAAGGTCTGTAGTAACGGCCACAGCTGGAGGCACTGCTTTCAGCTCCTGCGGCTCAGAATCAATCTTCTGTCCTTTATCTTCTCCTCCTCCTCTTTGAACCTATAGCACTGATTGGAAAACACGAAAACCAATGGGCAGATGCTTAGATACTAGTATAAATCCACGGGAATTGCGCCACCGTGAGGCAAGGCTTATCTTGTTGGGAACTGCAGGTTTTCTTTGACTTTCTTTAACTTTTTTCAGAGCGAAAAATTGAAATTTGTCCTTAGATTTGTTTTGATACAAACTTAATTCTCCCCCATACATCACACACACACACACACACACACACACACAACTAGAGAACTTTGATCTAACACCTGTAGTCATTTCTGATCTGTGAAATATGACAATGGCCAAATGAAGCAAAATGGAATTTGGCCAGCCTTCGAAACCTATTGATTTCAAATTAGAGCGGCGGTATTCATTCTGTTAGCACAGTCACACTCAGAACTTGGTCTCTAATGTGGATTAAAGGTACTCATGTAGAGGTTTATAAGTATATCCTTGATGAATTCGCTAATATTATGAATTAGCTAAAATCATGCTCCTGGAAGAAGCTGCCTGGGAGGTGACTGCAGCCCTAATTCTAATGCCTCGTTTTATCCTTGGACATTTTCCCGACCTTGGGGTCAGTGGAGATGCCCCACGTGTCCACTCCAGTCAAGATCTGAGAGTCCTGGGGCCTGAAAGTGGTTGTGAATCCCTTCCTGATGTCTCTGTAGCCACGTGTCCAGTGGGAGTGACGGGTCCCTGAGCGTTAGATGGGGCTCTGAGATATGGGTCTAATCAGTGAAACACCCAGAACAATGAGTCTGAGATAAAACTTCTTGTATGTGTTTTCCCCTTGGAGTTACAGCTTGACTCATGCTTTCTTCTGCAGGTGAGAGTGATTTCCCAGCGACTGCTTTGGCCAGTACAACCAGAGAACAGGATTCTTCTCTGGCCACTAAATGCCTCTGTGCACCACACTTTCCAGTGAAGGAGGAAGGGCGGAGCTTCTTGGATGACGATGGACATTCCACTGGGCAGGATGAGGGCAGAGTGTGTGACATCAGCACCACAGGGGTAAGCGCTGCCTCTCTGACGTTTTCTCTGACACCATTACTTATCAAAGGAAGGGGAGAACAAGCCTTACAGTGCAGTGACAGAAATGAAAGTCAGACATCAGGGAGACTCTTCCGACTGTAAAATCCACTGGGCAGTTGGGGCACATGACTAAGGGAGAAAGGGAGAGTGCCAGCCTGGAAGGATGGGGCTGCAGTTGTCCTGGGGGACATGGCAGGTCAACTATGGAAGATTCTGTCGTCTATGTGGCTCACCCCCTTCTGTTGTTTGTAGTTCAGACTTGAGGGAGTGACACTACTGTTATTGTGACAAGGTTCCGTTTGTGTCCATTTGAGTCAGTCTGGCTTGAAATCGGGGCGTAGACCTGGGGTTGGTAAGAATCTCACTCAGGTCACCGACTGAGGGCTTATTGGCAGTGCCTGGCCCGGGGGTACATTTTTGTTTGAGCCACATAATGTTAAAAACTTTTTGGATCAATTCTGACTACAGTTGAGATATACCGCGTAAAAAGCAGGATTTCTGGGTTTTCCGGGAACACTGTAAGATACACCCAGACTGGCCCTCTGTTCCCACAAAGGACTCTGGTGCTGAGAGTAGGCTTTGCCACTTAGACGAGCATGGGTGGTTCACCACAGTCCCCAGCCTGACCACTTCATTTGTGTAAGTTCTTTGTTTGGCCACTAGAAGCATTTCATTTCACCATGCCTGATCTAGATCCTTCTGCTGCCTCTTTCACAAAAACAGTGATAGTTTTTGTTAATTCTTCCAGATAAAAGTGTCTTTCACTAGACGGTGGACAGCAATTAGCATAAGGGGCTGTGGAGATGACGAGACATGGTCCCCTCTGCAGAAGAGCTTGGAGTCTAGTGACAGCCGTGGTCAGACTTGTGGAGGATAGAGAACTGTAAAAACACTATAATCCCTTGTGGTAGGGGCTCAAATAAAAATGCACCTGCAGGGCTGTGGGAAAAGGTGAGCAGAGCCGGCAAGCAGGGGCAGGGGTGAACTATTAATTTGGCGTAGGTGCGTTCAGATGCTCCAGAACTCCCTCTTCTGGACACCAGAATGTCACTCTGACAGCCGTTTGTATGTGCGTCCCTCCGTGTAACATGACTCAGGTGGAGCTGGGACTCAGATGGAGCTACTGCAGAGTTAAGGCTCCCCTCTTGGGTCTAAGTCCACATTTTTCCTGTTTCTGGTTGAAAATCTTTCACCTGGGGTTCTTTGCTTTTTACAAATAGGAGAGATTTCTGGCTTTTTGTCTCTCTGAATCAGCCCTCTGAGCAGCCCTCCTGCTTGGAGATGAGCTGCGTGGATTACAGGGATCCCTGGAGTTTCCAGAGGGGATTGGCCACACTAAATAGAGTCCAGAGGGAATCAGTACCACTCTAATATGACTGGTCCAGGTGGAGGGGGCAAGAGAGGGAAGGGAGTAAGTAGGGGCAGGAAAGGGGAGGTAGGGATACTGTTACCTTAATGTCTTATTTTTGGAATAAGGTTTTACATGTATCTTATGCTTTGTGTTTTCAAAAGACGTTTGCATTTGTTATTGTATCATCAAGGTGTGTACATCATCTTTTGTAGATCAAGAATCTCCCACCCAAGGTCATGTAGCTGGGGAGTGGCAGCTCAAGCACAAGTTTTCTGGAGTCTTGACATTTTTCTGTATTCTTTAGTTGCTTCTGACAGTTCAGCACAGATAAGGGGACCTGGTGGGTTCGTTTCTTTCAATTCAACATTTAAAAGTTGGGTTTAGGTGATGAATGTTCTGAATTATGGTGACCTGGGACCTATGCCACTGGTGTGTTGTCAGCTGCACTTAATGCTGTTGGAACATGTCAGATGTGGAACAGACCAGGAGGGAGTTTCCTTGCCGTTTATTTGGCCAGTGGGAATCACACTTCATATCCAGGCTTCCTCACTGGTCTGGGAAGAACCATTTGGAAGGCTACTGGGGGGACTGGCTCCATGTAGAAGGCTCAGGATGCCCAGGAAATGCTGATCCCTGGAAACAAAGACTTAAATCCAGCAAGCTCTTTGAAGTTTTGTGTGTCCTGTACTCTGGCTCTGGACAGGTCCTCCTAAATGTCTCATAAACAGCTGTTACTTTCTCAGGATTGTGCTATTTTAGCTGCTGTAAAAATGCTCTGATTCACAGAGGCCTGAATCAAGGACCACTAGCATATTTCCATTTCCAAATTCACAGTCAGGGTGGACCGTGCAATGCCATTGACGTTTCGTTATACTCTCTGCTCCTCTATGGCCCCACATTGACTTCTGATTTTCTTTTCCTTACACATTACCCACCCCAGTGCACGGGGAGCTTTTGCTGTAGGAGAAAATCATCACCAGGGAAGGTTCCTGGTGAGAGGATGCTCAATACTTGGGTGTGGATTGAATGTAGATTTTCAAGTCTGTTTACATTTGTTTCGTTTTACTTGGAATATTCTCATATGGCATGGCCAGAAATACAATTTAGTGTGACCTACCCTTTTTAAAAACATAAACTATTTTTCTTTTAAATTTAATAGAATGAAATACAGCTCTTTCAGAAGAATGTTCCAAAAAGATGGCAGCATTAATGCAGAAAAATGCCCCCCCCCCTTTTTTTTTGGATTTCATGATAGGACTAATGTAGATTTTGGACAAGTGGAAAGGAAAAAAGAATCAAGGTTTTCTGTTTACTTTTATGGAATTGATTTTAAAAAGTGGTTCTGCCCAATAAAGCAAGTACAAGTGGCTTGTATTTGTTTTGCTTTTGTTACTTTTCTGAGCAAATCAAATGCATTATCAAAGCCACTCACGCACATGTGTGCATGTATATGTCTCACCCTTGAAAAGACACAGTTTTGAGAGTATTTTTAAAGTGATTTTGAAAGCATGAGGCAAAGAGAGTGGTAAGAGGTTAATGGCTTTGGAAAGGCTTTATGGGTGCCACTTGGAGAGAAGTGGATCAATGTAGTTTTTCTTTTAAGCTGCCAGAGAATATCTTGGATTTTTGACATCTGTTCTTTCTTTTCAATCTTACAAATACCAAGAGGAACAAGGTGGCCACATACAGTATATGGTGTTCTCACCGTGAGTGATTTGGGTTGATAGTAGGCAGGAGGATTGATACAATGAACCGAAGCTCTTCTTGGGGAAGAGAATGAAAATAGCATTTGATTTTTCTACCTTGCGGCCAGATGCCTTTGGTACCCACAGATGTGCCTGATTTGAGACCACATGTGTCCTTGGCATGCTAGTACCAAATCTCCTACCAAAGAATATAGCATTCATTAATGAGGATGACTGATAAAATATGTAAAATTGAAGATCAACCAGTCCCTCCTTCCTCCCACTTAAAAAAAATTAAATACTCATATTTGAGGCATACTGGAAGGAGTTTGCCCTATAAAAACTGTATAATGTTGGCTAAACTATGAGCCTCAGATTTCCCTGTTTGCAACATGGGGTATAAGATCTACCCCTTAGGACTGTGGGAGAATTAAATGAAATGATTCAGTCATTCAGGGATGCTTACACTGAGGTCCTGCTTGAGATTCTGGGAGTTAAAAGGTGCACAATAGTGTATATGAAAGCATTTACCACAGTGCATGGCTCAAAAAGGTGCTTAGTAAATTTTTCTTAAAACATTGTTGATGGAGAACTTTAACACGTACAAAAATAGAATAATGCATTAACCTCCTCTGTACCCATCACTCAGCTGCAACGATTGTCGTAATTACTAATTCATGGCCATCTTGTATGACAGTGCCTCCACCCTGTCCCCCCCAACCCCACATCAATGGATTATTTTGAAATGAATCCTAAATGTAGTATAATTTTATCCATAAGATCTTAGTGTATATTTCCAAAAGATAAAGATTCTTTTTGAGAGCATAATTACAATACCATTAGCACATTGAAAAACTGACAGTTATTATTTTATGTTATCAAGTGTCTAGTTTAGCATTCAAATGTCCCTGATTTTCATATGTATTTTTAAAAGCATTTGGCTAGCTCAAGTCAGTATCCATACAAAGCCACATGCTGGATTATTTGATATGTCATGTATTTGATCCATGTCCTTTGTCCTGGATAATTTTCCCACAGTTTTTGCTGATTGCATCCCTGTAGTGTCTTTGAACATGTTTCTCTGAAGTCTCTATTTTACTTCAACTGGTAGATCTAGAGGCTAGATCAAATTCAGGTCTGACGTTTTGGGGGCTGGTATAGTTCAGAATTGTGTATATATTTCCATCAGGGGGCACATCCTATCTTTCTGTCTCTTTTTGTTACACCAGGCTTGATCAACGGGTTCAGGTATTGCTCCTCTCATCTACCAGTAATGAAGCTCCCCATCAGCTTTTTATCTGGGTTTTAGCAGCCATTTATGATCATTGCCCAGATCCGTTATTTCATTAAGAGTTGCAAAATGGTGAGATTTTAATTCTATCATTCTTTCACTGTTTTCCAAAATGGCTACCCATAATGCTTGAGGGTTCCAATTTCTCCACATCCTCACGAACAGTTATTGTATTATAACACAATACAATATTGTATTATTATTACTTTTTGATTATAACCATCCTAGTAGTGTGAAGTGGTATTTCATTGTGATTTTGATTTGTATTTTCCTAATGACTAATGATATTGAGCATCTCTTCATGGACTTTTTTTTTTTTTAACGGTACGCGGGCCTCTCACCGTTGCGGCCTCTCCCGTTGCGGAGCACAGGCTCCGGATGCGCAGACCCAGCAGCCACGGCCCAGGGGCCCAGCCGCTCCGCGGCATGTGGGATCTTCCCGGACCGGGGCACGAACCCGTGTCCCCTGCATCGGCAGGTGGACTGTCAACCACTGCGCCACCAGGGAAGCCCATCTTTTTATGGACTTTTTGGTCATTTATATATCTTTGGAGAAATGTCTAGAAAATCCTTTGCCCATTTGTCTTTTTACTGTTGAGTTGTAAGAGTTTTTTTTTAAAATCCTATTCTGGATACTAGACCCCTATCAGATATATGATTTGCAAATATTTCCTCCTATTTTGTGGGCAATTTTGCTAGATATGTCCAAATTCCCCTTCATAAGATTCCCTTTCATTTGTATTCCCAGTCTGTGAAAGTGTTTGCTTCCCCATATACTTGATAATAGAGTATGTAGTCCAATTTTTGGATATATCTTTTTCCATTTTGGTATTGGATATGATACTGCACCATAAGTTTAATGTGCATTTATCTTACTATGAGCAAGGTAGAACATTTTTTTTTTCCTGTTTTAAGACCCATTTGCATTTTTTTCTGTGAACTGTCTGTTCATATCTGGTCCGTTTTTCTATATTGTTGTTCTCTTTTTTCTTCTCTGTCTAAAGCTTTTTACATGCTAGGTATATTAACCACTTGTCTGTGATGTAAGTGGCAAATATTTTTCCCCGTATTCTCTTTTTTAACATTGCTTATGGCATGTTTTCCATACCAAAAATTTTACTTTTATGTAATCAAAAATTTTTTGGTTATTTTTTTCTATATTTTTAGTCACAATTAGAGAAGTTTGTCTCACTTATAGAGGAATTGACCCATGTTTTTATTTAGTGTGTGCATAGTTAAATATATATATATATATATATATATGATTCACACTAAGTGTGGGTGTATGTGTATAAAATATACATCCCTTTATATGTACATTTACATATAACTTCATATGTAAAATATATACTATATAAAAATATATATTAAATATATATAGATATAGCTTTGATGCAGCAACTATTTTCTGAATGGGAGTAAATGATGGCTGTTAATTAAATGATGGCCTGAATATAGGAATCTTGTAAATAATGATGTTCAGTATCTGCTTTTCTTATGCCACTTTGGATGTGTGAGCCAGCACGCTGTAGAGCAGAGGGGTTGGCCTAAGGAGTCCTGGCTTGGGTTTTGCTCTAACCCTTAATAGCTGCATGATGCCCATTCATCTCTTCTGATCCTGCTTCCTCGTCTGCAAAATCCCAAAGTAATAGTGAGGAGCAAAGGATATAAGGACTGTTTGTAATTGGCCAGGGACTAGCTGTATGTAAGGGAACCTTGCTACAGTCTGTAAAGGTGGGCGTCTTCTTTTTGCCTGCCCTCCATAGGCTGCTATGGGCCAGACACAGCCAAAGAAATCAACACTGTACTCTGGCCGCCGTGACGTAGGGAATCTCATCTTGCCCTCTGAGCTGAAGCATTTGATCTGATCCAGAGATGCTTTCCTTTTTCTTTTTTCTGAAAGACCCACAACAAGAGATCCCTGGTTTTATGATGTGTGTTGCTTTTGTGATTAGACTTTGAGGAATGAGCGGACCTCAGAACGGGCTCTCTTTTACTGGCATGGAGTCAATACAAAGCAAGGAGGACAGAGCAAGAAGACGGATATTATGGTTGATAACATTGTTCTTTGGAGAAGTGACTGTGAAACAGTTAGGAAATGGATGGCACACTCTCTGATTGAGACTGACTTGCGCAGGTAGTATCATGAAAGCAGACAGTGGCTTTCTACCATTGTGGGTTTCCAGGAGAGCCAAGGAGATAAAAAATAATCCACCAGGAGATAATGTCCTTTACAGCCTTAACGCTAGCTTAGCTAAAACTAGTTCCTTGGAACATTTTACTACTCTACTTGCCATGAGCATAAGCCTGCTTTCAGAGGCTTATGAAAGCCTCTGGAAGCTGTCTGAGGTTCCATGAATATTTGGACCAAGCCGTAAGCTCTGATTTAAGCCCTTCAGAGAAGATCGCTAACTAAAAATAGAAAGCAGAGGCAGAAAAAAATCAAGTCTTTTAAAGAGGTCAGCAAATCTATGAAGCGTTTTGCCATGCCAGGCTGAGGTCTCTGGGTTCATGGGAACACATTCAGTGCTGGTGAGTCCAGAGCAAATGGCCATGTATTCCTTATGCCACTAGGTTTCCTCCTAGGGTGGATGGCAGAGGGCTGTGTTTTCAGGCTGCGTCCTTTTCAGAGGGGGAATCTCTCGTCTCGCCGACAGATTTGCCTTTCCATAAACATGAGGGCAAGAAATTCCTACTTGACCTCTGTGTTTCCTCTAATGATGTCACCCAGTAATGCAGAGTAGAAAACACATCCTCCTTTTGACTTTCCACTTCCTTATCTTTTCCTTCCAATCAACCGCCAAGTCCTGTCAATTCCACTTTATAAGCTTTTGAATTTGTCACTTTATATACACCACTGCTGTATGAGTTTGGGTCCTCTCACCTATTCTATTGAAGCCGTACCTCCTTGACTCCAGCCATTCCCACCAGCAGTCTTCCCTCCTGCTGTCAGTGGGGTCTTTCCAAGTTACAGTCACAAATATAGCCACGTCCACTTATTGATTAAGAGGATTTGGTGGGGTCTTACCTACAGGATCAAGTCCAGACTCTTTAGATAGATACACAAGTCTCTTTACAGTCTGGCTTGTGCCCACCTTTTGATACCCTCGGTTGGGAATGTCCCTTTCCCTCTTTGCTCAGCTCTGCTTAAACCTTTAACATTTGACCTGAATAGAACCTCTGCCATGAAGCTTCTCCAGACAGAGGTCATTGTTCTTCTCTCAATAAACCCAAAGATGCTTGACTCATTTCTGTTATAACACTTCCCACACTGGGTTATTAGGTTATAATGAGGAAAAAAAAATAGGAAGGGATGGGGGGGATGTGTGTAGTGGAAATAGCATGGGCTTGGGGGTTAATCCAACCTGGGTTTAAATCATGGCTCTACTCAACTTCTCTGAGTATCTGTTTTCCTATACACCTACCTTATAGTACTGGAAGGATTAAAAGACGTAATAAAAACAAAACATCTGCTAGTACTCGGTTGGAACTCAGTATATGACAGTTTCCTACCTTTCTTTTATTTGCATCATTGGCTCTGAGGAAGCGTCATTCTATTGGATGATGGTCAAAATCTATTATTTTTCTCTCTGAGAAATGGTTCTGGTACATCTTGGTTAGCGTCAAGAATAAAATAGCCTGTGTGTGCTGGGCCGGTATAGACTTGGGTGTCATAGATTGGGAGCGTGTGGGAAACTGTGAAGGGAGGGAGGAGGTGGCAGAGGAGCCTGTTCGTGTCAGGAAACTGATAGTGCAGTTAACTTGAAAAGGTTCCCTAAGTCAGTTTCTTCCCTTGTGGATGTACCTGAAACCCCATCCCATGAAGTATAACTATATCTTTTAAGATACTTAGGGACAGGGAGATAATTATATCCTTTTGATTGTCCACATCAAAACGTGGGGAATAGGGCTTTTTCGAAACGGAGTGAAACCTTGGAGCGTAAGAGGAAACCTACATCTTTAGTAAGAGCTGAGCTGAGCCCCCAGGGATGTGTGGGTTGTGGACGAGGTGCAGAGCAGAGGAGAGAGCTGTACCTGAGGGTGCACGACCAAGCCCTAGGGGCCAGGAGAGATGAGCTACAAGCCGGGCAGCAAATAGCCTGTCACGTCTGAATTGAGCGTTTCCAAATAAGGAAGCCTTGTGGTTGAGACTGGAGATGCTTGTATTGTGTAAGTGATCCCAAATGCATTGCTTTTGGGGGAGTGGGAGGTAATTCTGGATGACTAAAAAATAGAGAAATAGGAATTGGGGTTCATAAAATTTATATGGCAGTCTTTTCCAAAAAATGGATATATAAACCAATTTTTTTAAAAAATGAAAACCAAAAACCTGTTTTGTGTCGATTCTCTTCTAATCAAAAAGGGGATAGCGTATTCTTTTTTTTTTTCCTGTTTCCTGTTTTGCTTTTTTTTTTTTTTTTTTTGCGGTACGCGGGCCTCTCACTGTTGTGGCCTCTCCCGTCGCGGAGCACAGGCTCCGGACGCGCAGGCTCAGCGGCCACGGCTCACGGGCCCAGCCGTTCCGCGGCATGTGGGATCCTCCCGGACCGGGGCATGAACCCGCGTCCCCTGCATCGGCAGGTGGACTCTCAACCACTGCGCCACCAGGGAAGCCCCCTGTTTTGCTTTTAATGTAGCCCGTCATCCTGGAAAGGGGAGTTTAAAAATAAGCTTGGCATGGCTGGCTGCATGGGACAGGGCTAAATGCCGTCTTATGTTCCTTCCAGGTCCAGCGTGAACTCCATCTCCCTTCCCAGCCAGCTCTCCGCTGCCTGTATCCACCATGGTGTTTGGTGAGATTTTCCATCGCCCTGGACAAGACAAGGAACTTGTCAACTTGAACGTGGGGGGCTTTAAACAGTCCATCGACCAGAGCACCCTCCTGCGCTTTCCTCACACCAGACTCGGGAAGCTGCTCAGCTGCCACTCGGAAGAGGCCATCCTGGAACTGTGTGATGACTACAGCGTGGCCGATAAAGAGTACTATTTTGACCGGAACCCCTCCCTGTTCAGGTACGTTTTGAACTTTTATTACACGGGGAAGCTGCACGTCATGGAGGAGCTGTGCGTGTTCTCGTTCTGCCAGGAGATCGAGTACTGGGGCATCAACGAGCTCTTCCTCGATTCCTGCTGCAGTAATCGCTACCACGAGCGCAAGGAGGAAAACCACGAGAAGGACTGGGACCAGAAAAGCAACGATGTGAGTACTGACTCCTCGTTCGAAGAGTCGTCTCTGTTCGAGAAGGAGCTGGAGAAGTTTGACAAGCTGCGATTCGGTCGGCTCCGGAAGAATATCTGGATTCGCACGGAGAACCCAGCCTACTGCCTGTCGGCCAAGCTCATCGCCATCTCCTCCCTGAGCGTGGTGCTGGCCTCCATTGTGGCCATGTGCGTCCACAGCATGTCGGAGTTCCAGAACGAGGACGGGGAGGTGGACGACCCCGTGCTGGAAGGCGTCGAGATCGCGTGCATCGCGTGGTTCACCGTTGAGCTGGCCATCCGGCTGGTTGCTGCTCCCTGTCAAAAGAAATTCTGGAAAAACCCTCTGAACATAATCGACTTCATCTCCATTATTCCCTTTTATGCCACGTTGGCTGTAGACACCAAGAAGGAAGAGAGTGAGGACATTGAAAACATGGGCAAGGTGGTCCAGATCCTCAGGCTTATGAGGATTTTCCGCATCCTCAAGCTTGCCCGGCATTCGGTAGGACTTCGGTCTCTCGGTGCCACACTGAGGCATAGCTACCACGAAGTTGGGCTGCTGCTTCTCTTCCTGTCGGTGGGCATTTCCATCTTTTCTGTGCTTGTCTACTCTGTGGAGAAAGATGACCACACGTCCAGCCTCACCAGCATCCCTGTCTGCTGGTGGTGGGCCACCATCAGCATGACAACCGTGGGCTACGGCGACACCCACCCAGTCACCTTGGCTGGGAAGCTTATCGCCAGCACGTGCATCATCTGTGGCATCTTGGTGGTGGCCCTTCCCATCACCATTATCTTCAACAAGTTTTCCAAGTACTACCAGAAGCAAAAGGACATTGAAGTGGACCAGTGTAGTGAGGACCCACCAGAGAAGTGTCATGAGCTCCCTTACTTTAACATTAGGGACATTTATGCCCAGCGGATGCATGCCTTCCTCACCAGTCTCTCTTCTGTGGGCATCGTGGTGAGTGACCCCGATGCCACAGACGCTTCAAGCGTTGAAGACAACGAGGATGTTTATAACACAGCATCCTTGGAGAATTGCACGGCAAAATGAGCAGGGATGTTTGTGCCTGTACCTCGTGTCCCTTTTACCGATGTTAGGTTAACACAGCTTTATAAACCTCAGTGGGTTTGTTAAAATCATTTAATTCTCAGGGTGTACTTTTCAGCCATAGTTGGACATTTCACTGCTCTGAAATGATAGAAACGTCTTTATTTTTTTCAGAGAGGTGAATTAAATGCCTTGCTCTGAAATTTATTCTTTACAAGAGAGAGTTGTGATATGATTTTTGAAAAACAAAAGGTAGATGGTATTGGGTGGGATTTCTTGCTACGGCTTACGTATCATTCTGTGTTTATCATTTACTCACATTGAGCTAACTGTCAATTACTGACAAGTAGAATCAAAGGCCCAGCTGACTGAAGATTACAAGCATGTAAGATCCACAAAATGAGACAATGCATGTCAATCCATGTTCACGTTCTAAACATGGACATTAGGAGCCTAATAAACTGCCTAATTCAGTACGGAGAATGTCTTGGTCGTATGTTTTTATGTCAAGTAAGTATATTTCAGTATATTCACAATTGGCTTGGGAGGGAAAAGCTCTTTTTGGCACACACAGAAAAGAGCCCTTTCTGTGTGTCTCTGAATTTTGGATATACATCAGCAGTGGGCTAGTTCTTTTGTTCAGTAGACTTGATAGTGGTTGGCAAGCGGGAGGATCACGTTCATGATTAAACCACACTGTCCAGTGTAACCCGATTTTGCGTGTACATGTTTAGGACATACTCAAATTGGCATAGGTGCATGAAACATGTGCCCTTACAGATACGTTTCCAATATATATTTTCTAATTTCTACTGCTCAGATAAAACCTCATCACCTGAAAATTACGCAGAGCAGAGTAAACTTCTGCTCACAGGCAGAGGTACATTCAGTGAATGGAAGAAAGGAGAAATGCTGTACAAACACAGATGTGATTCACTATGGCCAGAGGAGTGAGACTTAAATCACTGAACAAAGCTATGCCAGCAGCTGTGAAATGAGCCAACATTTAAAAATAGCCTGAGAGGCAGTCATGTCCGCCTCTTATGTTTCTACCCCTCATAACGAAAGACACACATACTCGTATCCAGAGCAGTGACAGCAATTCTATCCCAGGTGGAGAGAATTTAGCTAAAATCTTAATTTTGGAGATGTATGGCGACGCTAACTCATGCTGTCAGACTGGGTTCTTTCCATGGGATCTTCTGAATGGAAGAGCCACGTGGATTTATGATCCAACTTTTTATGTTTGCAGATGGGTTTTGTTGAAAGAAGGACATTCTCTGTAGGTTATCTGATGGAGGTAACCTTTTGACTCATCACTCCTTCTAATGTTTTCTTGACTTCTGAGATGGATACCACTGAACAGGGTTTATAGTTATTTTTAAATCTGGAGGTTTATTACATGCATGTGTGTCATCCCCTGCCCATTGAAAAAAATGTTTCTTTTTCCCCAAGTGCCTTTGATGTTGGCATAAATACAGTTTTGAAGCATGGCAGTAGAACTTGGAACCCAGTTTTATTTAAGATTTCCCAAATAGTCATAAAGTAATTGAAGACTACTTAGATAGTAATAGTAATAGCAATAGTAATAACGATAGTAGTGATAATAACAGCAACAGCAATAATAATAATAAGCTACTATGTAAGGGCTTTACCTATATAATCTCATTTATTCCTTACAACATCCCTAGCAGCAAGGCTTTATTACTGTCTCCATTTAAAAATGAGGACACAGGACTTCTCTGGTAGCGCAGTGGTTAAGAATCTGCCTGCCAATGCAGGGGACACGGGTTCGAGCCCTGGTCCGGGAAGATCCTACGTGCCGTGGAGCAACTAAGCCCGTGTGCCATAACTACTGAGCCTGAACTCTAGAGCCTGTGAGCCACAACTACTGAGCCCACACGCCATTAACTACTGAAGCCCGCGCGCCTAGAGCCCATGCTCCGCAACAAGAGAGGCCACTGCAATGAGAAGCCCGCACACCGCAACGAAGCGTAGCCCCCGCTCGCCGCAACTAGAGAAAGCCCACGCAGCAACGAAGACCCAACGCAGCCAAAAATAAATAAATAAAATAAATAAATTAAAAGAAAAAAATGAGGACACATGGTCACATGAAAATGGCTTAAGTTCACACAGGGAGTAAGAGTTGGGCTTAGAACCCCAGGAGCCGGATTCTAGAGCCTTTGCCTTGAACACGGCACTGCCTCCTGCTCTCCTGGGTTCAGGAGTGGATTTAAGGATGTGTCAGGGCCACGTTCATCTGAAGAGATAAAAAGCAATAAACTCCGTCCGACGTTGATTTTTCCAGGAAGTGAGTGGAAAGGGGAAATGCTGGCTTATGTACCATCCCTCTCCTGACTCACAAAGCAGACACGTTTGTTGACAGGGCAGAGTTTTCTAGAAGCTGGAACAGGCTCTGAGGGTCCCTCCCTGCCCCCGAGTGGTAGAAACAGTGGGAGACCTGTGGTTCTACAAGAATCCAGGAATGTCTCTCAGCTTGTGGGTCCTTAAGAAGAGCTTCCAAACCTGGATGCTTGTACACTCTGAGCTCTTTCAAGGTCGCAGCTGTACGGGACTCGTGTTTCCACCGGTACCGCATGTTAATTCGTGGAGATAGCTGGCCAGACCGCCTGAGCGCATGCGGAGTGAGTGGAGCTGGTGGCTCCCCTCTGGGCTTGGCCAGCTGGGACTCCTTCCCCCAGGACCTCACCTCAGTCCCTGTTATGCTCTTCAGTCAAAACTCATGCCACACCATTAGGCCTCTGTAGCAATAAAGCTGCAGTGCCTTCTGTGTCTATGCCTCTCAGCTTTCCCATGATGCACGCAGGTCACCTCTTGGTCATTCCCCCATGGTGGGATGGCGGGGCCCTTCTTGTGAGGGGGGCTGAGTCAGTGGCTGAACACCCGCTGCACAGGTATGCTGGTGGTGGAGTGGGCACAGAGGGCAGAGGAAGCCAGGCAACCTGACCTAATGGGCACTGCACCTACATGAGTTGATCAGTCCCAGGCGCCGGGGTGCATTCGTTCCAGTGGGACCAGGCCACTTCGCAGTTTTATCTTTTAATTCTTTCAAACTCCTTTTCCCTACTCTGTGACCTACGTGTGCCTACTCTCGGGATCCGCAGTTATCATTTCATAAGAAACGTATTTTATCTCTTCCTCGCCTCACTTCCTCTCCTTCCCAGGTTATTTTGAAGCAACTGTCAGTCATATCATTGAATCCATAGGTATTTCAGTGTCTTTAAAAGAATAAACTTTTCCTAAACATAATTGCAAAGCCATTAGTAAAACTAAAAATTAACAGTAATTTCTCAGTACTATCAACGATCCAGTCTTAGAAGGTATGGCAGAGCCATGAATTTCCAGTTACCTGGCATCTCTAAACACCTGGTTCAGGTAAGAATTTCTACGAATCATGAGTTAGAGTCACAGGAAAGCAGGGAACCTCAAGAAGTAATTGAAATGATTTCTGCTTAGACCTTCAAATTACCTGAGACACATAACTTTTCTGCAGATTTAAAAATCTCTAGAGGCTCAGAGAACACACCTTACAGCTTACATTTAACCTAAATGTTGTCAACAGCAGTTTAAAATTCATTTGTCCTGTTTCACACTCCCTGAGGGTGGAACCAACTACGACTGTCCTTGAATAAGGAACGTTTATGTCCTCTGAGCTGTTCAGTCTCTGTTCTGAGCTCTCTTCTCCTGTTAAAAGAATCCCCGTTTTGGGCTTCGCTGGTGGCGCGGTGGTTGAGAGTCCGCCTGCCGATGCAGGGGACCCAGGTTCGTGCCCCGGTCTGGGAAGATCCCACGTGCCGCAGAACGGCTGGGCCCGTGAGCCATGGCCGCTGAGCCTGTGTGTCCAGAGCCTGTGCTCCAGTTTTTTTTTCCAGGAAGATAAGAGAAGAAGATAAAATATTTATTAGGTGTTACTCAATTTAACCAACATCCAAATAAAGGTAGGTATTTTTACTAAAATAAAGCTTAAACAATTTTCCGAAGAGTAATAGCTTCCTGTGGCTGTTGTGATAACTTGCCACAAACTTGGTGGCTTAAAACAACAGAAGTTCATTCTCCCAGTTCTGGAGGCCACAAGTCTGAACTGAGTCTGAGGGCCTAAAATTGTTGGCAGGGCTGGTTCCTTCTGGAGGTTCCCGGCATGGTTCCGTTCTGTGTATCTTCCAGCTTCTGATGGCTGCCTGCCTTCCTTAGCTTGTGGATGCATTACTCCAGTCTCTGCCAATACGGTCACATCGCCTTCTCTTCTGTGTCGCACTTCTCCCTGCCTCCCTCTTATAAGGACACTTGTGATTCCATTTAGGATGCACTCAGATAATTCCGGGTAATCTCCCCATGTCAAGATCTTCAATTTAATCAAAGCTGTAAAGTACCTTTGCCCTGTAAAGTAACAGTTCCAGGTTCCAGGAATGAGAACCTGGATATCCTGGATATCTTTGGGGGCCAATATTCAGCCAACTACACCAAAGTTACACTGTTACTAAGAAGCCTTAATTTTAGTGGTATGTGAGTATAATGCATCTTATTAGTTGGGAGAAAGGAACGTTGGATAAGAACATGGGTTTTGGTGCCAGACAAGCTTGAGTTCTAATCCCAGCTTGGTCTGTAATCATAGACAAGGTCTTTAACTTCTCTGAGTCTTGGACTTCTCATCTGTGCATGGGATTGACACCAACCTTCTCATAGAGATAGTGTAAGGATTAAACTGGCTAATCAATATAAACTATCTGGTGCAGTGCCTGGCATATAATATGCACTCCATAAATGGTCTTCCATGTTATTTTAGTGCAAGACTTCTTTTGATTTATCTCAAGTGGTACCCAGGCAGGACCTGGTATTTTCTGTCTGATTGCAGTACATTAATGAAATCAAACACAATTTGACTGTAAGACATTTACAGGTGTCAGTAGAAAAATTATAAAGTATTATGGTGTGAAAAGACACCAAAGCTAATTTAAAATTAAGAAATATAAATCTAAGACAGAAGAATCACATTTGATGTTGGGTCAACTTTTAAGCGGATCGTAAGGGTTTTTGGAAAACAGAAAATGTCACCGAGATGCAATGGCTTTGAAGATGGAAGACAGCATCGGACCTGGAGTCGGAATACCTTTTGTTTGCCTCCAGATCTGCTTATTTCTTTCTGAATGGGCTTGGAGAAGCCACTTCCCCTCTCTAAGCCTCAGTGTCTTAACGTATGAAAACGGAACAACAAGATCATGGTTGTGAGGATGTAAAAATGCTTCATGCGTGTTCTACAAGCACTGCACAGTAAGAAGCTATCATGAGGCCCTTTTATAAGAAAGATAGAGAAGCAACTACATGTGTATCAGTGATGGACTTTACTGCGCCATTAAAAAAAAAAAAAGTCAATGAACATGGTTCCTGAAGCTTTGTGCAGCTTCATTTGAACACAACTTTCTTTCCAAATGAATCCTGCCAGCTACCAACATGAGTATACA